TCAGGATTTTCTGATTTATGAACCAGAAATCGATATGCTTTACTGTTAGTCACATATCCTATGAAAACACAATCAACGGTTTTCGGTCCTATTTTTACCCTTTTGGGTTTAGGAACTTGCACTTTTGCCAAACACCCCCACACTTTAAAATAATTCAAGTTGGCCTTCCTTCCTTTCCATTTTTCATATGGAGTGGATTGTATTTTGCTATGGGGTACTCGATTTAGTATTCGGCTAGCTGTAAGAACGGCTTCCCCCCCCACAAGTTCTGTGGCAAACCAGAACTTATCAACAATGCGTTCATCATCTCCTTTAAGGAACGATTCTTTCTTTCTGCAATCCCATTGGATTGGGGCGTGTAAAGGGCCGTTGTTTGATGAATAATTCCATATTCTAAACATATTTGTTCAAAAGGAGATTCATATTCACCACCCCTATCACTTTTTATCATTTTGATTTTCTTGTTAAGTTGCGTTTCAACTTCATTTTTGTATTGCTTGAATGCGTCTATTGCTTCATCTTTATTATTAAGTAAGTAAACATAGAAATATCGAGTACTATCGTCAATAAAAGTTATGAAATACTTCTTTCCACCGCGAGATGGTATTGACTTCATATCGCAAATATCTGTATGAATTAAGTCTAAAGGATCTGAACTCCTTTCAACTAACTTATAAGGATGTTTAACACACTTAGATTCCACACATATTTGACATTTTGATTTGTCGCATTCAAATTTAGGCAATACTTCCAAATTAATCATTTTTCGCAAGGTTTTATAATTAACATGACCCAAACGTATATGCCAAAATTCATTTGAGTCAAGTAAGTAAGACGAAGTTGAAATTTTATTATTATTTTCAACAACCATTACATTCAGCTTTAAAAGGCCCTCAGTGAGGTAACCTTTTCCTACAAACATTTCGTTCTTACTTATTACAACCTTATAAGAAACAAAAACACATTTAAAACCATTCTTAACAAGAAGTCCAACAGAGACTAAATTTTTCCTAATCTCGGGAACATGAAGGACGTTGTTCAAAGTCACCACTTTGCCGGAAGTCATTTTGAGAAATATCTTCCCACATCCTTCAGTCTTGGCCTTTGCAGCATTTCCCATAGAAAGCGTCTCATCGGGTCCAACAGGAGCATAAGTAAGAAAAGCTTCTCTAACAGCAAAAACATGGCGAGTGGCTCCAGAATCAATCCACCACTCTTTAGGATTGTCCACCAAGTTGCATTAGGAAAGCATGACACATAAGTCATCAACATCATCATGCTTTTCAACCATGTTTCCTTGACCCTTCTTCTTGTCTTTCTTCGGAGCACGACACTCCGTAGATTTATGTCCAGCTTTTCCACAGTTGTAGCAATTTCCACTGAACCGCTTCTTGCTTGGGTTGTATTTCGGTGCAGAAGCCTTCTTTCTCTTTTTTTTCTCTTCAACAATATTTGCTCCCATTATTGTTGAGTTTCCACGGCCTCTCTTTTCAGCAGCGTTGTTGTCCTCTTCGATTCTCAACCGAATAATGAGATCTTCAAAGGACATCTCCTTGCGTTTGTGTTTCAAGTAGTTTTTGAAGTCCTTCCACAAAGGAGGCAACTTCTCAATCATCACTGCTACTTGGAATGCTTCATTGATGACAAGACCTTCAATGAAATTTCTGTTAGTAAAAATACTAAGATTACTACTTTCAACATCAGTATTAATTTGATTTATACCTTCAGCAAGGAGATCGTGAATAATCACTTGCAATTCCTGGAATTGGATAATAACAGACTTGCTATCTACCATTTTGTAGTCCAAAAACTTTGCAGCAACGAACCTCTTCAACCAGGCATCTTCGGTTTTGTATTTCTTTTCAAGCGCAGTCCACTATTCTTTTGACGTTTCCACGCCACTGTAGACATTATACAAAGCATCCTCCAGCCCGCTTAGAATATAATTCTTGCACAAAAAATTTGAATGCTTCCACGTCTTAATCACGAAAAAGCGTTCAGTTTCTGGAGTTTCATCGGGCAGCACAGGAATATCTTCCTTGATGAACTTCTAGAGACTTAGAGTAGTCAAATAGAAGAACATCTTTTACTGCCAGCGCTTGAAATCAATCCCGGAAAATTTTCCGGGTTTCTCCGCCGGTGCTAATGCTGCCGGTGTTGTTCGGCTCGTTGAGGCATTGGCAGTCACCATAGGAACAACTTGGTTCACATTATCATTAGTCATTTCTGTAAAAGAATGACACAAACGTTAAAATCACGTAGATTTTAATCTCCAATAGAGTACAAAACCACAAAGGTTTACTCTCCGAAAACGGTGAGTACAAATACAGAAAATATATTAAATTCCTTAAGCTTGTTAATAAACTGTATTTGTAAACTAATTCTGGAAAAACAAAGCAGAATAATATATAAACAGAAAACGTAAAGAGATAGAAATCAATTCGAGCCCACTGAATTCACAGTGTTTCCTTAAGGAATTTAATCCCCTCCTAGTACCCAAGGTTATGGATTATTTCCTCCCAGGATAGAACGAATTACACACTGGTGTAGTGGTACTTCAAACCCTAGTGTTTCAGCGAACACAAAGTTCGATTGCAAATCAAACTTACTGTTGCTTTGTTTGATGTTAATAGTATGCAGAAGAAGGAGGAGAAACTCAGAAAATCGTATTTAAATTCTGAGCAGAATAGTCTTGTATTTATAGGCAAAGTTGGGCTGAAATCTGAAGAGGTGCAACTCTTCAGAATGGCTATTTTTGCAAAACGGCCACAGTATAAATGCCATAACATAAATGGCTATTTACTCAATAATAAAGAGGGAAAATTGAAGGGCAGTTAATTTTTTGTTACAAAAATAGAAAAATGAAAATTGGATAACTGAATTGGATTTAATATTAATATTTATTTTAATATTAATATTTTGTTATTAAAATAAATATTTAATAACATTTCTGTTAATATTTACTATTAACAAATAAATTTTGTCCAAAAATTAATCAATCGATCATTTGACCGAATCCGAATCCAAATCCGAAGCCGAAACTGAGCCGAGCCGAGCCGAGCCGAGCCGAGCGAGCGAGCGGCGACGACGACGACGGCGCGAGGCTTGCCTTCTTCTCAACTCTTTATGAGCTAGAAGAAGAGCAATTGCTTATATAACCATCAAAAACCTTTTCCTCTTCCAATATGGGACAATGTACCTTCATCAAGGGGGGAAACTTATAACTTCACTTAAAAATTTCATTTCCCTCCATTTCCTATTCACCCCATTTTAAGCATTAATAGCTTAAAAATCCAACAATCCCCCACATGAATGGGGAATGACTATATCACGGAAGTATGCATGAAAAACTGTGTGATTCGCAAGCAAGGATTAACTGCATCTTGATAAGTAGGTTTCCCTTTGAAATTTCCGTGGTGAACTTATGTCGGATATACTCGGTCAATCGGTAGATTTGATATCTTTGAACCGTCGAACTTGGGTGTATACCTAGACAACCATAAGTCACACAACCAACCCTTAACCGTCTTTGGTTCTCATTGTTGTGTTCGTTTCAGCCATGAACACCGCCTGGTTTTATAGGTGCGTAGAGAACTGGCTTTCCAAAGTTCTCCTTGAAGCGGCTAACACTTCACACTTACATAGGTGATTCCTAAACGTGTCATCCCGTTGATACACTATTTGATATACCACGTATCAAATTTAGAAATCATTAAAAATCCTTAATGCTTTATCCTTGGTACTGAACATTGTCTCATCACGAGAATGGACCAAAAGCTTAGTTGACAATGTTGAACCGTCATTAATGACTTTGTTTGATCTCCTTGAACCTAGATCTTGGGATGTCCAGTCTTCTAGGTAGAGTTACTGCCACTGTGACTTGTTCTTGGCCACAGTTCCATTCCCCTTGATGATTTCTCAACTACCTTTCTAGTTAGGCCTTTTGTAAGTGGATCCGACACATTATCACTTGACTTTACATAATCAATCGTGATAATTCCTCTAGAGAGTAATTGCCTAACGATTTTATGTCTTCGTCGTATATGACGAGATTTACCGTTATACATCACGCTCCCAGCCCTTCCAATTGCCGCTTGACTATCGCAATGTATGCATATTGGTGCCAACGGTTTGGGCCAAAATGGAATATCTTCCAGGAAATTTCGGAGCCATTCAGCTTCTACACCGGCTTTATCTAAAGCTATGAATTCAGCTTCCATTGTAGAGCGGGCAATACAAGTTTGTTTGGACGACTTCCAAGATATCGCTCCTCCACCAAATGTGAATACATATCCACTTGTGGACTTGGAATCAGTTGATCCGGTGATCCAATTTGCATCAGAGTATCCCTCAATGACCGTAGGATATTTACTATAGTGCAAAGCAATGTCCTGGGTATGTACTAAATACACCAAACTCGTTTCATGGCCATCCAATGAGATTGACCTGGATTGCTCGTATATCGACTCAATTTACTTATAGCACAAGCTATATCTGGTCGTGTACAATTCATGATGTACATTAAGCAACCCAACACACGAGCATAATCCAATTGTGATATGCTTTGGCCTTTGTTCTTTGCTAATGCAAGATTCACGTCAATTGGAGTCTTTACAACTTTAAAGCCCAAGTGCTTGAATTTTTCAAGTACTGTCTTAATATAATAAGATTGTGACAACGCCAGACCTTGAGAAGTCTTATGGATCTTAATTCCCAGAATTAAATCAGCAACTCCCAAGTCTTTCATATCAAACTTGCCAGTTAGCATGCGCTTAGTCGCATTTATGTTGGCAATGTCATTACTCATTATCAGCATATCATCCACATATAAGCAAACAATGACTATGTGATTTGGAACATTTTTAATGTACACACATTTATCACATTCATTTAT